ACTGACCAGCAGTTCCCAGGCACAACTCTCTACTATCTTCTGGAATGTTTCGGCCCGCGCCAGCTTTCTCCGCTTATCTCCAGAGCGTTGCTCTGGAGACGAGAGCACCGCTTTCACCCCCCCTCCTCCATTCCAGTCCATCACATAATTGCTGTTTCATTCCCAACATATCGCCTCCGCTTTAATTAGTAAAGTATACACCTGACCAGATTTGGACAACAGACTGAACTTTCCTTGTCCAATTCCCAAGCTTACATAATATGCATTTATGGGATAGTATTTACTTTCTTCAGCAGCAATTTGTTTAACAGGTTAACCTGCAAGAGGAAAGAACAGGTATCAGCTAAAAGCTCACATTATTTTTATTAAACTGTTAGCATCATTAGTCATCCCTATTTTAGCAAAGTATTTCATTTAATTAACCTCAACACCTCCCAGTTAAATTAAAGTTAAAATTTTAAACATGTCAGCAAAGCCAGCGTTGATGTTCTCGTACGAGAGAACATTGAAATCTTTGAGAGCTCAGCATATCAGATCACAATATGATTTATTTCATTTTTTTAAACAAGTAGATCCTGTCCTTATACTTTTCTAAACAAGCTGTGCTGCTTTGAAATAGTTCTGTAAATTAGTGTTTAGTTTAAAGAGGCGCTAAACGTTTTCAGCTCTCTCATGCAATGGCACAAGCCAGTTAGAAGGCAGAGAAGGGCATCTGGGTGGATTATCATGGGGTCTCTCCAAGGGGACCCTGCAAGGGTAATAAAAAGAGTCAAGATGGCAGCTGTACCATGCAAATGAGGGCCTGGAGCCCTGCAATTCTGTTATGTCTAACCAATCAGTCAGTCAGTCAGTCAGTCAGTCAGTCAGTCACAGAGACTTTACCAAAATAAAGTATATCTGTGCAACATATCGAAGAGAGCCAGTTGGGTGTAGTGGTTAAGGCACCAGGCTAGAAACCAGGAGATTGTGAGTTCTAGTCCTGCCTTAGTCACAGAGCCAGCTGGGTGACCTTGGGCCAGTCATCTCTCTCAGCCCTAGGAAGCAGGCAGTAGCAAACCAC